AAATACGCAATCAAGATTGTTGTAGCAATAGTTCTTTCCTTGAAAGAAACGAGTTAAGTCAACAATGGAATTATTTGCTTGGACTTACAGAGATACTAATAGGGCTGGGAACAAACTAAGCTTTCATTGACATGTTTGCCCATGGTGAGTCTGGGTTCATACCTTCAGTCATATCAAAAGTCTTGCTTTGGTTCCTACTACAAAATACGTAGCAGTGCTGTTACAGATTTTGCAAAAAGTCCACAAAATGTTTCCATTTTTCAAATCGAATCCCTGGCATTTTCTAAGTTTCTTGTAGCATGTTATATCACTTCCAACAGCAGAACAGGAGCCATAAGCAACATTTACTAAGATGTATAGCGACAGGACAAGGGGAAATGGTTTTGAACTGGTAGAGGGTAGGTTTAGAGTAGATACTGGGCAGAGATTCTTTCCTGTGAGGATGGTGAGACACTGGAACAGGCTGCCCAGGGAAGTTGTGAATGCCCATTCCCTGGAAGCATTGAAGGCCAGGCTGGATGGGTCTGTGAGCAACCTGGTCTAGTGGGAGGTGTCCCTGCCTACAGCAGGGGGGGTTGGAAATTCGTGATCTTAAAGGTCCCTTCCAACCCAAACCATTCTATGATTCTGTGATTCTATGTTTAGCAGCCACATATTTGCACAGTCTTGCAAATTTACCCAGAGTAGGTGAAGCAGTGTACTGGCATGTACATGTCCCTGGTGGAAAACAATGCTCAGAACAAATGCATTCCTACTGTGCACGATGGAGGTATACAGAGGATTTCAGTCCAGAAGCAAATACTGATCATTAGCTTCCCTGAATAATTACATGTAGGCATTAACAGTTTCACGTCAACTGCAAAATACACGATTGCAGTTCATAGAGTATGGCAGTCCTCAAAGTACAGCCCAAAAGTCTGCCAGGACCTTAACAGTGAATCTAACATGGCTTATGTGGTTGCAATTACTCCCCTGAAATATAGGAAAGACTGTGTTCCACATCCCGTAAACCGCAATCTAAAGTCTATTCGCTTCATCCACAGCAGGGCCTCACCTACCACAAAGCTCCACAAGAGCAACAGTTGCAGAGGCGAGCAAAATCAATGTGTGACCAGCGTGCTCACTGCAGTAGCTGACTCACCTGTGTGCGAGCACGCTTCTCGTTTGATCACTTGCAAAACAAACCAGAAAATCTCGTTCAGAAGTTTCTACAAACCTGCAGCTTCTGGTTAATCTGCAGAACATCTCTTAGATTTAAAACTCTTTTTTCAAAGATCTTATGTGCCTAAATAAAATGTTGCAACGTTGCAGTGTTTCAAACGCTGGCCTCACTTTGAGGGATCTGCTGAACTGATTTTACTTACTGTAAATGTTCACTCTGTTGGATGTACTTATGAATTCTTTGCTTACAGACAGTGCCTCCCAGCTCCTAATGTTATATTCCATATATTTTACCTTTGTTCCAAGGAAATTACCTTTCAACTTTAGAAAAATGAAATAAAACACATTTTAAATCTCTCAGATATTTTTCAAAACCTGAACTAACCTAGTAGCTTTTTGGTGCCATTTTAGTTTCAGGTTCTTCTCCTATTAAGAGAAGAGGAAATCTTTCTAGGAACTTGGAAAGCAGAGAAACCCAGTTCAGAACATCTAGAAACTAAGTGTGAAGAAAAGGAGTTGAGCTGTTTGAAAGAAGAAGCTTCAGGCTAGAACTTGTGGCATCCTTTGTACACTACAGGTATTCTTGGATTTCTAAAATATATCTAAACTTATCATAGAGTCATAGAATCAACTAGGTTGGAAAAGTCCTTCAAGGTCATCAAGGCCAACCATCAATCTGACCTACTGAGTCCCAGAAGTAAATCATGTCCCTTAGTGCCAAATATCCCACCATCCTTCTAATTCTGTGACTGATGGCCTTAACACAACGAAATCAAAATCAGAGCTGCAATTTTATTCATTACATATACATGAACAAGATGGAGCACGCTGGTGCTAAGCCAGTTCCACTTCATGAAAATGTTTCAGCACAGTTTATTATGTCTAATACTGCCCACATTTCTCAACAGTTGAAAAAAGAAGGAAAAAAAGAATGAGGTACTGTCATCCTTATCTTTGGGCACCTAAAACTGTGTGGATGATTGACAGCCTGCATGACAATTCTGTGGTGTGACACCTGCAGTTGACCAAAACTGAGTAAATTCTAGATTCTTAATGATCAATTTGTAATTCAGCTTCCTGATTAATTTCCTGCATGGTATGGAGGAATAATATTCAAATACCATTCAACAGGTAGAATTTTTCCAAAAACAATGTTGCTTGCTGAAAGGCTTTCTGCTCATCTCTGGAAAACCTGAGCACATACACCTTCCAAGGGTGTTCTGGAAACTGAAATGTTGCATGATCATATCCTAAATAATGTACACAGGCAACTCACAAGTATGCAGTAAAAGAAAAATAAAAAGCCTCTTTTATCTGTCATAGTTACTATGAACAGTTAGCAGGTATATATATTTCTACACAGGCTGCTTGGAAGATGACTCAAAACAAAGCAAAACCCCTGAATAACATATCTAGGAGAACATTCTATCTAGGATTACCAATTGCAAAATGCCAGAAGAATTATAATTCACAACTAAACTCCCTTAGGGTGCTCATTCACGAGGTTCCCAAACAGGTGGCAGGGAAGGAAGGAGGTAAATAACTTTCCACAGTACCTTGGCTCATCATCAAATGGCACTCCACACTGCATCTGACTTCAACTTGTGCTCAAGAGCAAGTCTAATCCTCTTGATAATGCTAGGAGCCCACCATGCTCGGGGCTAGATTGGAGCATGAAACAGGATGCCCTGTGCTCAGGCCCAAAGATCTGCATGTGTCAGCAGTGGGTCACACTGGACTTTTCTATGGGGCTATTCAAACCCTCACAGCTATCGTCCTGCAAACAGAGGTCATGCAGGCCTGATCCACCTTTGCTGACAAGTGGAAAACACACTCTGATCCTGTCACTGTTCCTAGATAAGAGTGTAGGAAAATAGAGCAGATCTTGAGATGGAGGTGACACAGCAAGCTTTACTTTTTAATACAACTCCACACCTTCTTGCAGAACCGGAACCAACCATCAGTACAATATTTGCACAATGAATGCTTCTAAGGAAATGATGAACATCAACATAGATAGTTTACAAGACCTCTTTTGTATTCTAATTCACAGAACTATTTCCCACATATTTACTCTTATGCAGTTTTGGATTATTCAAAAATACAGCTTAATTTATTGTGGTTCCTTTAAAAGGTTAAATATTAAAACATATTATAGCTTTCCTCCACATTTTGAGTGCTGACAGCATAGAGTTCATTACAGTGAAGGAAATAAATTACTGCAATAAAAAGGAATTAGGCTACTTGATCACTGTTGCAATTGCTCCAGATAGAGTTCAGGAACAATCCAGTGTTTGCTGTGCTTCACCTGAGGAAGTCTCCAAAGAGACTGGAAGCGAATGCTAACTGAATTAGTTACTTCTTATACTTCAGGTGCTATTTCAAGATATTGGGCATTTCCTACATGGTACATTCAGTAACCGTCCAAGGGAAAGTACAAGCACTGTGCAGCATTATAACTGTTTGTATGCCTGTGGTGTTCGGTAGAAATTGAGAGCTAGATCTAACAAAAATGATCATAACATAACTGAAAATGAGCCTCCAGCTTAAGAATGAGTAACGAAAAGGAACACCTCTGTTGTATCACGTCTGTTAAAAGCTCTTTCACTGTATTCGTAGGAATTAACATTAGCAGACAAGAGTTGGTAGAACCCATTACTTCTGAAACTATATGTTCATCACTTTGGAGGACATATGTTGGTATTTAGCTTGGGAAAAGCAGAACCCCAAACAAATTAAAATGAAATTGCACTGAACTTCAGAGTGAGGATAGTAAAAGGAAAGATCATCACTCACTTATAGGATTAAAAAATGCATTCAGTGATTTGCTTAGAAATAGAAAGGAAACCTGTGGCTAAACCAGGAGCTCAGTTTGGTTTCAGCTCAGAGCGTGAATTCGGATGATTGTTCGGCTGTTACTCAGTAAGTAACTTACTTATTATACACAATGTAAGGATAAAAGAGATAAGCAGTATTTGTTTTTGAAAGGTTTGTAATATTCTGTGTCTGGAAAACCTATAACAGAACTGCATTTTAGAATTTAGAAGTGCAAAAAGTTATGTTGAAAAGAGGAAATATCACCCAAAGCATCATCTGAATGTGAACATATTAATTACAAGGCAGAAACAGCTGGTGTAGAAGCAAATACAGTTACTTCTTAAACATATGATGTTAGCAGTAATTTTTCTAAGCAGTTCATTCAAGTCCACTGTTTCCAAAAGGCCCAAAAATATAAAATGGACAACTCTGGAAAAGATACACAGCTTTGAGATGCAAAAAATATAAACTATGTGAAACTGTTCTTTGTCAAGTACTAACTGCAAAACTTCCAATGAACCAAATATAAAGAAACTGTTGATAATCAAAACTGGGTAAAAATACCTCCTGAAAAAATGGAAGAACAACAAAAAGGCAAGACTGAAACAAAGACAATTTTCCACTCCTTTGGAGCTCCATAGCTGAGGTTCAGCTGAAGTTGAATCTCAAAAACGAGTATTTATTCTTTGAAGGACAAGATTATTTATGTTGAGAAATGTGACTATACTGAGATAGAGCTCATGAAGTTAAAACAGCTTAAGTAACATTGTGCTTCCTTATTTTTGTGTCCTGTAGCCTAAATTAACACCATATGAATGAAAAACAAACAAGACAACATTCCTATGTATCTTTTGAATCTAAACACTAGTTGTATGGTAACTGTTGAGTCAGGGCTTGAACCACTGATTGATCACCTGTGGAAAGGACAGAGTCAGCCCTGGGAGCACAGGGTGAAGCCTGACTGCACTTCTCTTAGACCTCATTTAAGGGCTGACTACTGCTGGGGTGGGATCTCTGGTTGGAGATCCTCCTCTTGTAGAGTTTTTTCTGTAAGCCTGGATCTTCAGAGATGGGTGAGCGCTTCTTTTCCTTTGTAATGCCTTTCTGTTGCACTAGTGCCTTTGCTGTTACATCTCCTGTATCACCATTCCACTGTGTTGCTCTTTCTGATTGTTACATGGGTTTACAAACTTTGGCTGTTTTATTGGTAGGCATCGTAACTCTTGAACTGTTGCAGTAAGATATGCACTGATGTTTATAGAAAGCTTCCAAATTAATTAGAATGTAGTCCCAAACTTTATGGTGGCCTGATTTAGTAGAAATAAATAACTTTTACTGTCTTAAACAGCTGAAGGACTCTTAGGGAGCACACATGGGTGTACCCCACCAGACTCATGGAGATTTTGTTACAATACATTTCATGTGTTTTACTCTAAAGAAACTACTGAATCACACAGTTTCAGTGGTAAACAGGCGTTTGTAATTCTTAAATATATATTTAAACAACATCTTCCCTTTCCAAATAAGGGAAATTTGGACTGTAAATCAGACAGCAGGGCTGCAGTGAATAAAAGTAACCAAAGGACAAAGGGTTCTACGAAATTAACAAGTATAAAACTGGTATCTGTATACTACTAACAACTACCTTCTCCTCACTGAAGTTCACAGTCCTGATTATTGAACGTGTGAGTGCTGGTCTACCAAACCTTGGGAATTTTTAGATGCAGCTTTAAACAAACAAATGACAAAACACATTAGAAGTAAGAGAAATTCTAGCTCTAGTTAACAATGGGACCTGAATTCTATTCCATGCTAAATTATGCTACCTGGATGCTCAAATAGGTTTGGCTGCTATGTTTCCTCAATCCTCCTAACAGAGTTATCTAGCTGAAGATTCCAAATAAAGAAACTAAATAATCTTTTGGAGAAGCGAGGTTATTTCTAAGGTCTCCAAGATGGTGATGTGAGCTCATACAGCACAGAAAAGTTTATATGGGAAAAGTTCTGTTTGCTTTTAATTATCATTTAAAAAAAAATTAAAAACGTGTCCCAATTCCTAACTCAATATTTGCTATCATGTCTTTTAAAATCTTGTTTTGCTCAAGGTTGCTGTAGTGCATCTTGCTGTGTCTGCCTTCTGAAACGGAATTTTTTTGGTCAACTGCGGGTCTCACAAAGTTAGTCTTCTGCAAATTTTGTGGTAAACAAAAGTAAAGCCTTTCTGCCATCTAGTGGCTACAAATACCAACAACCGCCTAACGATCCCAAACACTTTTCTGCCATTATTGAAGTTGTAGCACTCTTTCCAAGAAAAGGAGATACGCAGAAGAGAATTCCCCCAAACTGTGGTGCACACAGAAGAGTCTGCCCTGTCTGTGGCTTGCTCTGAGCTCTGCTTCCTGCTTGGTGAGCCACGGTCGTGGTCTTATTAGAGAAATGTTGAAGATTCTCACCTATCTGTTTACTGCGATGGCTATCTACATTTCTGTCCAGAGACAGATATCTGTGAAGGTACTGGAAGTAGTTGCTCTGTCTGCATAGCTCTGATTTTAGTTTCTTGCTGTTCTGTTTCCTTTCTCATTACAATTCATGTTGTTTAACAGTAGAAAATACTTGTTTTCCCATTGAGCTTATCTTTTTTTTTAAGCTTATATTTAAATACATTTTGATTTTTTTATATAAGTGAAACTGTATGCTGACTTCCATAGAATCATAAAATGGCCTGGGTTGAAAAGGACCAGAATGATCATCTGATTTCAATCCCCCTGCTATGTGCAGGGTGTCCAACCACCAAAACAGGCTGCCCAGAGCCACTCTCCATGAAAGTACTGCACAGGTGGTAGAAATTGGATCAGCAAAACAAAAAAATGTAGTCAATCTAAAGCTTTCTAGACACTTTTTTTTTTTTTTAAACAAATACTAAGTTTACATTGCCAAAATGGAGCCTTGGCAATCAAATCACAGCTGGTCAGGATCCAGTCAAAAGCAAACTGAGCCCAGTATCTGTTATTGACCACTAATGAGTTTTAAGAGAACAAACTAAAGAAATTTGGTCCAGAATATATTCTTGCAGAAATCTGATTTAGGGGCATCTCATATCAAAGATTTTAACATTAATATTTCCACTAGATTTTTCTTCCACACGTGCATACGCTGCTATTTCAGATGAGTTCAGAAGAATCTAGATGAGAATCTTGTGGCTTAAATTTTATGACTCTGCTCTGTACCATGGAAAAAATATATCTTAGTGATTGTTTTAATCTTACTCTACAAACTTTTCATTGGATGTCTCTTATAATTTTTTTGTGAGGCCAATGAGCAATCAATCATTCTTTATTCACTTTCTCCTTTGTGACTGCCGCTCTTTTTGGTCATTAAACCATCTTCCTTTATCCTCTCACATTCCTTTTCTGTGTTCCTGCAGGCCAGAGAGTATCTATAAGACAATGACCTTATCAGAGCACTTGGATTTTTAAGACCCTCTCTGTAGAACAGCTCATTCCTCTTCAGGCCAACGTCGCTTTTGCCAAGCAGCACTGATAGATAATTCCAGACTCAATTTTTTACTACAAAATCCATACTGAAACATCTCAAACTTCTTATATTTTTTTCTTCGGCATTTATTTTATGAGTTCCTTTTTACTTCTAGCAAAAGATGTTTCAAATTTGTATCTTCAAGGATTTCCCAAAAGATGAATGTCTCAAGCTGATGAATAGCCAAATTACTTGGAAAATTTCTTATGAAAAAGAAAAGCGATAGAAGTGCTGATTCTTGCTTTTCCTTTGGGAATGATTAACTTTGAGTTGCATAATTGAGTAACAATATTAGCATATCGCTTCTTCTAAAGAAGATGTCATACTTTAAAACACGCATTTTAGAAATTTTAAAAGAAAACTTGGGAAAATACTTGAAGTTTTAGGAACAAACATTAAATTGTCTATTTGGTATAATGTGCATTTGTGGAAATTAACGTGTATACATCTTAAAATGCATTTGAGGAATGAGAAAATGAGAGAAAACTTCAGTGATTTGCTTAACAGCACATCAAAAGTCATCTAAGAAGAAAGCAACTTCACTTCTCTTGCATCTCAGATTTGTTACACCCATCATGTTCATATAATATGCTACAAAAATAAAATGACATTCCTCACGTACTTTGAATTATATTGTTCATTTGAATGTGGATATGTCCAAGAACAATAAAAAATTAAGCCTCTGTAAATACAAGTATTTGTAATAAACTCCTGTAATAAATACAATATGTTTACCACATTAATTAGTATTTCCTGATATTCAACAGCATTTGTTAATTTTGCACTTTTTTTTTTTTTTTTTTTTTAGCTTTTGCATTTTTGGTCACATTTATGTGCTCCTTGTCTGTAAAACAGTAGATAATTCCTGCTGCCTGTACATTTAATGAAAGTAAAATTATGCTTCGGTGAGTCTACTGGGCTAAAATGAAAGGCTTTTAATTTATACTGTAATAGGTTACATCTCTAGACTCAGTGAGGCTTCTTTGTGCTACAGTCTAGATGGCACATCCAGGCTTTAAACTAACTTAAATAGTCAGCAGGGGGTTCCAATGATGTAGGAGATTAGCAGAGCTGAATGCAGTAAAATAGATAATTAATGGCATATTTAATTCCCAGCTCCACAAAAGGGCAATGTTTAAGATGAGGGGCTACATCTGATGCGAAATGAACTTAGTGGTCTCTCGACTACCAAGTAAGCTGATGGGAGATATTACAGGTCTCTGTAAGTCAGAGCAGTGTGAAGGCTGTTCAGCAGTAGGGTACAGATTAAATATGTCAGACTTTATACAGCATAGGCTGCCTAGCAGACACTCTTTGGCACTTGGGCATGGCAAACTGAACACTGCAATCCCATTAGAAAGGCAGTATCATAGCTGGCAAAAAGAAAAATGGAAATGAAAGTAGTAACTTACTTGGCAAAAAGTGAGAGTCTGCTACTTCTGTCTGGCTTTGCATCGACTATATCATCTTGGTCTCCATTACTTTTCTCTTCAGAGGAACGGCCTGCATGCTGATCTCCTGACATCTACAAGTAAAAGTACAAGAATGTAAGCATCCCTCAGTGAGCGCTGTTATTTCAGTACTTCCTAACCAAAACCACTAACTGGGCACGTAGGACTGCCAGTTTGTTATGCCGTGTGGTCCTTCACCAACTAAGTGCGCCTATAGATTTCTGGTGATGCAGTACATGCCTGGCCATCACTGTTGTGCCCTGTGGTGAATGCCTAAAAGTCTCTTGTCTAACACCGCTCTGAACACGGCACGTAAGAACAGAAGTGAAAATCATTTTATGATTTAAGATCTTACAATTAGTTGCCAGAAAATTTTTCATGATCTGGAAAGAAGCATGTTGGGAAGAAAGGTGATACATGCAAATAGGCTTGAAAGAAACTCTACCATCTTCCAAGGATGGAATCTCAATTTTTAACTTCTGTTTTGTCTGTCTCAACAGCGTACAGGCCTTAGGAAAGAACAAGCGCTTCCTGGAAATGAAACGCAGTTGTGACACAGTGAGGACGGAAAGCGTGCAGGCCACAGGCAGCAGGAGAAGCTGCCCCAGCGGAGCGGTCCCACCCGTGCAGGTGGAGGAAATCGGCGCCGCCGATTGCAAACGACGCCCCGTGCCCCCCGCGAGGAAACGGCTGTGCAGCCACGCGAATGGCCGGACCGCTTCCAGCGCCCTGAGGTGCGAGGCGGGAGGGAGAGGGGCGGAGGGGAGCGAAGCCTGAAGGACCCGAGGGGCAGGGAACCGGCAGCGGGGCTTGCCTTAGCGCTGAGCTCCGGCAGGCGGAAGCGAAAGGAAAAGCGAAAGCAGAGGTGGGGCCTGCGGGCGCGGCGCGGGGCGGGGTCTGTCCCGGCCTCCCGGGGCTGTGAGTGCGGCTGGGCTCCTCCGGCTCCGCTCCCCGCGGAGAAGCTCAGTCCCCCCTCAGCTTCGTCCCAGCGAAGAGAAAATTGCTGCTTTTAACAGCGGCGCTCCGTCACACCCCCTCGAAAGAGGAGCCTGAAGCTTCATGGTGACGAGAGATTGTCTAGATCTAAGGAATTTTTTTTTCCTTATATAAACTTCATTGGCATTTCCTGGTCTTTCCAATTATTCACTGTGTTGCATCTCTGCTAATTACGATACCCCACTGTGGAGCCGTTGCGTCGGACCCAGCAGTTCAGTGCACGGGCTGGAGATTGGCACAGTCTTGCTAATTACTCCTGGATGCGGGCTCCGATCCTGCAAAATCATACACCTACCCAGCAGCGTGCGGTGTTTAACATTCACTACCTGAAGAGATTCACATCAAAGCGACATTTTTCAGTGTAACTGCCTCATAATTGGCACAAAACACAGGCTTTGTAACAAACAGCCTTTTGCTTCTCGACAGGTCACTGCTTCGATGTGAGCGAGTCTGAGCTGCGCGTGGCTCTCGCCAAGTGTCTGTGCTGCTGCCGGGCTGAGCTCCGCTCTGTGGGATTATGCCTGTAGCTCCTGGTTGGAGAAAGAGCCAAAGCTTGCTGCTGAAAATTAAGCTCTAACAGAGACCCATGGCTCCTCTCATGCCGTCTGTTAGCTGCTTCTTTTCAAGAAGCCAGCGCCATTTCCAAATCTGTAATAGATCTTTAAGGACAACAGAGAAACTGGGAATGTATGGATCTTCAAGTAAGTGTGTGGAGAGGTGAGATGGGAGAGAATTGTAGAATCGTAGAATGGCTTAGGTCTGATGGGACCTTAAAGAACACTGAGTTTTCCAAACCCCCTGCTGTGGGCAGGTTTACCACCCGCCTGACAAGCTGCCCAGGGCTCCAACCAACCTGACCCTGACGCCTCTAGGGGTGGGGAATGCACAGCTTCTCTGGGCAGCCTGTGTCAGCGCCTTACCACCACCACCTGAGTAATTTTCTGCCTAACATCTAACCCAATTTTCCCATTTTTTAGTTTAAAGCCTTTCCCCCCTGTCCTATCTCTTCCAGACCATGTAAAAATTTGGTTCCGCTCCTGCTTATATGCTCTCTTCAAGTACTGGTCTCCCATGAGCCTTCTATTCTCCGAGCTAAACAAGCCCGACTCCACTTTTCTTCCTAAGAGTGATGCTCCAGCCCTTTGATCAGGACCATGGCATAATCAACAATGACTGGGATTGGCTCCTGAACATCCAAATACCCTTTCCTGATGATGTGTGTGTATTACCTTGGAAATCCAGATATGGTATGCCATCTGTGGTTTCCTATATCTCAATGTAAATGTTTATATATTGTCATCTGGTCCTCATGGCCAAATTGGCATATCTAAAAACATCTCCATTCTACAAGTCATTGTAATGATATTGAAAAAACCGTATTGTGTTTCACAGAATTGTTTGAGTTTGAAAGAGCCTTTAAAGGTCATCTGGTTCAACTTCCCTTCAGTGAACAGGGACATCTACAGCTCGATCAGCTTGATTCCTCAGTGTGCTGGAAAACTGT